TGTTACCAGTGTTTATAAATTTTAACAGTTTCTAACACTGCTCAATGCATTGCAAAATCACTAAACCCCACTCCTCATTCATGTTGTCTCTTCCTCCCTCCATCCTTCCCTTCATCCCTCATTCAGCCACCAACTTTTGACTTCTCATCCCCTCCCTACTGCCCCTTGTTGACCTGTATATTATTCAGTTAACATATTCTATCAAAAATATTGTCAGTGGCTCTGTAAACACGATTTTAGATGGAATTCAGCTGTATGGTCTGGTTTACTGACTTGTGCATCAGTTCACCAAGTCTGTCTTCTATGAAAATTGGCAAAGCACCCAGGGCACAAGACACTGCATGCAGATGTATTTGGTCTTTCCGGTGCATGCAGCATCATGGCATCTGTTTGCATTTTTCACTTCGGATAGATTGATTTACAGCCAAAAAGGTACTGCAACTATATTATTTACAATAAAAACAAAGTTCTGGTAATAGAATGAATTGTTGTTGAAATATAACCAGCAATGCATGATGTCCAATTTAGTGGACAGATAAATAATCAGAATTTCCTCCCAAGATAAAATCAGTACTTCAGAAATTTAACAACCGTATATTTCTTTAGGTGTTACTTGATGTTATGATATTTTTGTACCTCCAAGGGTCTCCTCCTATAGAAGGATTGGCAAGATATTCCTAAGCTAATCAGCCTTTCTTTCTTTCCGTCGGCCATTTTGGTTTTAAGAATTTGTTTTGCACTTACAATGGCTGACCAGTGGGTGGCAGTGTATGGAATAACACACTAGCATCCACTGAAGTGGATGATATGCAACTACTCAATCAGAACCCATGCACATACAAGAAAACAGCTTTTAAATAGCTGTCCACTGTAGTGACCACTATGCATGAAAGGGTTTAAGTACTGGAAACAGGTGTAAGCAGCTAGCCTGGCTCTGTCAAAAGGAGGCAAAATCTGCCTACCAGCACATCTTAAGCTCACTAATTAACATATTACTGTATAGTTTATCTTGTTGGATTGACCCACACAGTACAAAAATAGCGGAAAAACATCCTGAATGCATTTTCAAGTCATTAAATGCAAATAAATCCAGTCTTTAAAATGCTAGAATTCAGCCACTTCTTTTATGATTCTCTTATTAGGAATCCCAGAGATCTTATTTTGGTCTGACATGATGTGAGATGCAGCTGACAGTAGCTAGGAGTAACTTGGCATTCGACAGAACATGTAGCCCACAGACAGACACAGAGACAAGACAGGACACTTCAGTGACCACACTCAGATGGGTGAAATCACCCAGTCTGACAAACTCATCCCGCACGATCGATAGCTGCTGTAACAACAGCCCTTCTTGTCACAGGCTGGAGAACAAGCTGTTGTGAAGGTCTGAGAACAGAAGATAGACCCAGGAGGGCAGGCTTGATTTACGAGCATGAGTCAAGATGGAGGCATAGTCACCCACATACTGTAGACGGCCTTCCTGCCATACCAGTTTCCCTCTCCCCACTTGCCTGCCTTCTGCTGTACTCGTCCTCATTCCAGTGTCTATTTTCCTGCCTGTTGACAGCAGAAACGAACTGAAATGACACACCACCCAAGAAAACATTTCGGTGTGTTCTGTACCTTCAGTTGGATTTGTTGAATAGTGACATCCTAAATGTCACCTTTAGCTTGTTTAGTTTTATCGTTACAAACTAGGGAAGGGATTCTTGCTGATGTCTAGATAGATAATGCAAGAGAAAGAAATCATTTCACCATGACATGTAGCCGTCAGCCACTGGATGAAACGCACTGGTGACTCTTAGAAGGTTAACTACTGTCTGCTGCCAGTGTTTGGCCACCCTGAGGTAAGAAACTGTATTATTTTGTGAAGGACATACTGTATCACCCTCAGGCAACTGTACACTCAGTAGCATTGGTCATAGTAGAGATAAATATGTATCAGCTTTGGTCATTGACTGCAGTAGTGATTATAGAGCATGTGTCTGCTTTTGAAAATGGACTGGTGAGCTGATTTGACATGGATATTGTCATCCTATTTTAACTGACTTCAAGCAAAAGGAGAACACTTACAATGCACAGATAGAAAAGAGATGTTTTCATATATTAGTCTTGGATTTGCAGGCTCATCCATTCCTTCAGACACTTTCTTCAAAGTGTAAAAATGTTTTGCTTCACTGTTAGTGCTACAACTAATGATTACTTTTTTATCTGCAAGTTATTTTTAGATGAATTGTTTTGTCTATAAAATGTCAGAAAATTATGAAAAAAAAACTGTCCATTTGTCCACACACTGTTCAAAGCCCAAAGATATTCAATGACAGTCAATTTTCACAACACGAAGGCCTATTATTTCACTCAGCTGTCTATCAGCAGTGTGGCCCTACATGAAAACATTTTCAGTTATTGTCATTTCACTTGAAAGATTTCTGGATTTCTTGTTTTCTCTGTGCTTCTGTTAGTGGTTTTGAAGGGGGTGGGGCTTTGCCAAAAATGTTACAGACATTAGAATTTGGCAAAGTTTGAATCAGATTCTGTTGACAGTTGGTGGGTGGTTTCACCACTGTCAGTGAAATGCAACATAAACCACTGCTGTTGGCAGTTTGGGACTATTGTTATGATACATTCACTGTAATATAAGTGAATTAATATGGAGACAGTAGTGGAGGCAGCTGCAGTACGTAAGACATCCAGATGTAAAATATTGAAGCAAATTTGCATTTTAACTGTCTTAAGAAATCTAAATGAGATCTGTCATAAGCCTGTTCAGCACTTGACCACATATTTTGGCAATGTTTTAAACCTCAAAATCCTTCCAACACACAGTTGTACCCCCCCTCCCTATTTATCAGGCTACTGTTGAGTGAGTGAAGACACCCTGCCACCATCTCCCTCCCTGGAGCTGTATCAATATTCATGGGTCTGCCGGGTGTGTTTTTGCGATGGCTGTCTCATTAGCCTTTGATCCCCTTGCGTGAGGCCTGTCGGAGCATTGCTGTGCCAACAACAGAGCAGCGTTTGAAGTGTAGAGAGAACAGCTGCTTGCATTGATCTCCATATACTTTCTTTGCTATCTTCACACACGTCCACACATACACAGATGCTGTTCACAGGCACATGAATACATGCATCTACTGTAGGCCAGCACTTTACTTTCAACAGTCTGACCTCAACACTGCCACAACTGCAAGTGATTGGCTCTCATAACTTCTTTATAGCACGTAATGTAATATATAGAGCCGATAAAGAACATTAATCATTTAGTCGATCAAATTAACTGACAGCAATTTTGATAACCAATTAATCATTTAGGTCTTTAGCAAAAATACCCACAATTCATTAGTTTTTCTTAGCAATAGTACAGTGAATATGCTATTTTTGGGTTTTAGACCAGAAGACAGTAAGACAAAACATCTGTGCCATGGAAACTAGTCATTGATATTTTCACAATTTTCTGACATTTTATTCACAACAATTTATTGATTATTCAAGATTTGCAGATTAATCAGTGATTAAAATAGTTCCTTGTAGCCCTAGTAATATATATTAAAGCGTACATGGCTTTGGGTGTTAATCCCTAATCATATGATTTATAACCTGCAGGAAGTTAAATCTGTGAAATATTGGGCTGAATGACATGAATTACATTCATGTCATCTCAGTAAAGACAGATAATAGAATAGTCTTGTACTTCTTGGACTTATCAACAGGTATTATTCAAACACACCCTCCCAAAAATTTTCATAAAGAAAATAAATAAACACATCTGAGCTGAGATTACACAGAGAACATCATTATACACACGGAAAATTAACAATGAGGTACTTCCTCTAACAAAATGGGAATACTGTCATCAAATTATTATTCAATTTAGAGCAATCCGGTTAAGCTCATCACGGTAATTACAGAATTACATGCTGAAATATATATACTGTTTTTAAAATGAATGTCATAGTATAACTCACCTTCTCTTTGCAAACTATCAGGAGTAATTTGCTTTAAAATGAGTTGAAGCAGCAAAAATGACACAACATCCTATAATATGCAGCCAGAGCACAACTCCTGCCTGCTATACCACGATGCCCCTGAAAAATACAGGCTTTCTTCACTTCTTGAAATTTACACACTTGGAACTATCACACTGAATCACCAAATTACCTCAGTAATTCTACTGTGTTCTTTATTATTAGAGTTCACTTCCTCTGTTTAATGTTGAGACATTTTTCACTGTGCAGCAGGAAGCAGAGGGTCCGTTTAGTATGAGATCATAACATCTGCACAAAGACAGTCCCTGCATATTCTCCTCTCTATTTTAAAACTCTATCAGCTGTACAAAATGCAGTTAAAAATCAGGTCTAGGAGCTTGTCTAGGCTACTGCTTCCCTGGGAACAGGTTAGTCGATCAATACAGCCAGGGTGCCTGATAACATTAGGCCGTCCTTAGTGGCACTAATGAAGAGAGTAGTTGACACAGTCTCAGGAAGACTTAGGTCAGAGAAGCAGTCTGCTGAGCTGCGAGCCAGCTGACTACATAAAATGTGATCTGGGATGATTGTTACATTTTAAAAATTATTTCAATGACTTTAGTGGCATTGAAAATGGCATCCATGCATTTTTTAAATATTGATTTATTACAACGTATTTGGATTACAAGAGCAGACTGTGAAGAAAATTCCAAAGGGAAATGCATTTTTAATCAATGCAACAATTTTAAATAAATAATCTGAATGAGTCTGATTGGAAATGTTTATAAATGTCAAAAGAACTGCATCCTAGCAGAATTGTTATTGACATTTTGATACACCGGACCCTATTTTACTCCACTTACTCATACACACACATACACACACAGAAACCTGCGGCTGCAAAACCTTAATTGGCAGGGTCTTTACACACAGACTTGATTTAACACCCTCCAACATCTGACTGCTGCGGGTCCACAGTCCTGATAAAGATGAAAGCATGGCAGGCACAAAAGGAGGTAGTGAGAGGTAGCATACCTCGTAGTGGATGCCTTGGTTTTAAACTCAGGAGCTGCTGCGATGCACTGGTGAGGCGGGACTGTCGACTTCTCCCTCTGTGTCTTCTCCGGGATGGAGACTCAGGAGGAGAGCTGCTCCTTCACTGCCTCCTCCCTGCCTCTGGCTCGCTCTGCTACTGTCTCAACCCCTCTCACTATCATACCGCCCTCCCTCCCCCCTCCTCTTTTCTCTCCTCCCCTTTTCTAACCTGCTCCCTTGTGTCTTTTCTTTCTCCTACACCACCCTACTCCTCAAATTCCTCAAGTGTGACAAAGGAAATTAAGGTGTTACCATTACTTTCAGCTTTTTCTACAGACTATGTTTGCCTTTTTGCTAAAATAGAATTTTTACCAATCATTATTTAAACCTCTGGTAAGGGGAATTGTCTGTATATCATGGTTAGAGGAATCCAAAATCTGTGTGGTGACTAATGCACTGTGTACTAGGCTGCAATGACTATTTTCACTTCAGTTAAATTTAAATTCAACATGTATTATGTTTCTTGTTTCATCTGAACAATGGTCCAAAACCCAAAGATGTTCATTTGATTATCAACATTCCCAATCCTTGCATTTGACCAGCTTGAACCAGCACATTTGAGATTTTGTTTAAAAACCAACTAAAAAGATCAACTGTTTCTAAAAAAAATTGTTACCAATAATTTTTCTGTTGAGAGACTAACTGACTAATCAACTAATCATTTCAGCTCTACAGTGACCTACCACTGCTGGGAATGTAACTTTAGTCATATACTGCTGAGGTGGATTCAGGTAAAAGACACATTAATTTATTGATTTGTCCCTTTAAAACGATACTAATTGCAAATAAGAGATGTAGATAAACAAGCAGAGGAGATAATGAAGATTTTTCATGGTCTCTGATAACAGTATGTGGAATGTGCAAAATGGACTCAGAAGGCTGTTGCTCATGTATCTCCTCACATCTGGAGCATAGCTCAAAGCTTTCCCACCATCTCAGTGCAAAACTGATAAGAGAGTAGGGTGACAAATACTTAGATAAAAGAGAAAGGCACCTATGGCACAGTAAGGCTCGATGGATGAAATTATATCACCCAGCTGTTTGTTTCCACCACTGACCTGTGAATAAAAATCATTTGTTACCTGCCCTTAAGATTTGTGTAAGATCACTGCTTGTGGATTCCACAGCACTGGCCAGTTCACAGTCTTTTTTCTCTCTTTCTCCCTTTGTCTCTTTCCCCTCTCTCCCATAGATAGCCCTCCACTGTCTCTGCCCCTGTTTCCATAGTGACACTTTTCCCGACTCTGGCTCAAAATAATCAAGTGCACAGGATGGGGTGGGGGTTGGGGGTGAGAGAGAGAACTTGGAGTTGGGGGGTGGTTTGAGGGAATGGCCAAGATGGCAACAATGAAAAGGGGGCAAACAACAAGAGATAAAGGAGCAAATAATGAATAAAGAAAAAAATCAATACAGATGATCTGTCAGTGGCAAACAGTGTTGATGGCTTGAGTCTATCCATGCCCGATGCTGGGTTCGGATCAGGTGCTTTGAAAAGCCTTGGCATATGGTGGAAATAATTATCATGCTCATCAAACAACTAGATGGCCACTTGTGCTTTGTGACAATATTCCCACCAGAGCAGAAATGAATTATGGGATAGAGTTAATCAATCAGAATTTTAATGTGAGTGGTGTTCAGCATGGGTAGGATGCCAGATGAAGATGGTGTAAACTGCCTTGAAAACTGGAAAATAAACAAACAAAAACAAACCAGCCTACAACATTTGGACCAAATGTGGTGCTTCGATGGATGACAATATTGGTCTGTATGCTGGGTTCGTCCATCCACTCCTCTGATTTGTTGGAACTGATGGGAAGACTGTATATGCACAGACCCACACACACACACACACACACATATATGTATGTGTATATATATATATGTATGTATGTATATATTTTACACGATCCTTTAGTTTTTCTTTTAGTGCCAACATGAGGTTTGCATTGTTTTGAATAAATATATCGACAGCTATTGGATGGAATGAAACTTGATATGGACATTCATTATTCCCAGGGAATTAATTATGATTAATTATAATGTTGATTGCACAACTTTTTTATAGTGTCACCTGCAGGTCTTTTTTTTTTTTTCTTTTTTTTAAACTTATCTAGTGACAAATTTTAATTATAAAACATTTTAAAATTATTATTTTTACCAGGCCAAAAATAAATGATTAATTGAATAAGTGAAAAATACTTTGTCAATACTTTGGTGTATGACCAAATACTGGCTAAACTACCAATATTGCCACTTGTCTTAGCTGTAGTTAGCTGTAGTAGCTAATAGTCAAATGTTAGCATGCCAACTGGAACCAAACCCGTTAAACATCATCATCAAAGCTGGCAGGACAGTGATGTGAGGTGTGTGGAAGCAGTTAGCCTGTGCCAAAAGTTAAATGTTCTCCCACTTATTTACGGTACTTACTTATTTGTCTTCTTTATATGTTGTGTCTTCTTAGCTGCTGGCTAGTACCTTAGGATTCATTTGGTTTCTAATCCTACACTCAGCCTCTCAGAGCCGTTATAATGGCTGCTGACTCTTTGTCTTGGAGATCAAAATAATAGGCTATTTTGAAATACAGCAGATGCCTTTACTGATGTCTTCACATGAATAAAATGACACTATTACAACATACTGGACACATTCACATCCCTTCATGATGATAATTCCTGGGTGTGGTTTTCTCTGAGGCTATGTAGTAAACTAATGTAAATGCTCAAAAAAAGTGAGCAAGGTTAAATTTGTGCTATAACTACAGTACCACTACTTTGAAAATGTATATGTGAGTGTCCTCATGAGGGATCAAAAGGACTGCTGTTTTTCCTGTGCCATCGACAATTAGCAGTAATATGGCTTCTGAACTTTGTAATTCTCTCTTGATCCTGTTAGGTATTTTTAGCCAGATAGATATTGGATAGATACTTTATGTATTAGAAATGTTTATTGGAGATAGGATGTCTAGTTAGACTGTTAAATGCTTAGTCATGCTTATGAGTTTCTACAGGGTACATCTGGTCAAGGATAACTAGAGAGAAGAGTTGATGACTGTCAGCAGACAGGGTGTTTAATATTATTATTATGACGTGTATAACTGTAGCCTTAGCCATAATATGTTCTTATGTTTAATGTCATGACATGTACTAGAGGTCGTGAGAATGTTTTTAGCTACACACCACTTAATCAACAGACACACACACATTGATTTGCTTCATGTTTTGACTACTGCTATGGCCAGCTGCAAAGCTGGTAACAGAGACGTCTCGGTTGACGTTTCTGTGTAGTATGGGGCTAGCCCAACCGAAGGGATATAATGTATAGGCCTGTTGGGTTCAGGGTCTTTCATCTTTCATCTGCCTGCGAGCAGTTTGGAGGTGCAAGATACCTGAGCGTGTAATGTTAATTTTACCTGTGATCCTTTGAATAAATCAGCACTGTTTTGAAGTTACTTGGACTGTCTCATCTCTCAGAGTCAGTATGGTAAAAGGTACAGGGTACAACAATCCTTAAGCTGCTGTGTTACTGCCTGCCCCCCTCACCACGAAGGCCAGATTGCAGGGTCAGCTGCTCATGGACCTGGTACCGATTTAGAGTTGTGATTAAAAGGACACTTCTGCAGGGTGGACACCAAAGGTTATGTGGATCGAATGTGGGACTTTATGGCATTCAGGATGGTTTCTCTGATAACAAGGCTGCTCTGCTGTTGTTGTCCTCAAGGAGACAGAAGATAAATTCACACCTCAATCACCAAAAGCAAATAAACAGCTCTTTGTTGTTGCTCTGAGAAGCATAGGTGGATATTGTGTTACCACTTGTCAAATACCTTAAACCTTTAATGGACCACCCGCCCCCACCCCCAGAAAAAAAGCAATAAAGAAATCTTTTTTTTTTGTTGTTGCATTTCTTAATTCATTGGGGCACTAACAATATAAACAATGAAATATATGCAATATTTTTTGTAACTATCAGCACTTTTTGTAACTTATAGCATTTAAAACAAACATATGTTTTCATTCATCTACATGTGCTATGTTACACATTGCTTTAGCATTAATATCCTGTAACTGTCACTTGTGGCACTTGTGGCCCGAGTGACTGCTGAAAATGGTCTTATATAGCACTCAAAGCACTTTTTTTTTTACACACACAAACACATTCACACACCGGTGATATCACCAGGAGCAGGTAAGGGTTCAATGCCTTGCTCAAGGGCATTTCAACATATAGAGAAGAAGAATCGAACATACAGTTAGTTGTTAATCTGCTCTACCTCCTGTGCTACAACCCCCACTTTACACCTGAGTATGTGGAATTATTATTAGAAATATTTAGTAATGATCACCCTGACAGAATAACATTACTGACATTTTGACAGCAAGTCTATAATACTAAGAATATTTAGTAATGATCACCCTGACAGAAAAACATTACTGACATGTGAAACAGCAAGTCTATAATACTAAGCTAAATCAAACTGCCTATGTACACTTATGCCAAGTGTGGTTTTTGTAATGTCCTGTTTTTTATTTTTGGTTTTGTTTTGTTTTGTTTTTTGACCAGTTGAACAACTGAACAACAACTAGGTAAGTACAACTGTGATATCAGTTGCAAAAAGATCAACATGTGCCCTACCAAACTGTTGAATAAAACAGTGTTAAAGGGTTAAATATTTTATCAGTTAAAGTAAAACTACTGAAATAACAAACACCATATTTCCTCTAAACTTCATATAGTAAGATTTGTCTATGAACCAGAGCTTCACATCTGCTCAGTGTTTTTATTAGGACTGTCTCTTGTCACCTTCACATATTGGAAACCTGCTCCCTGTGAAAGCCAAATTAGATGTTGGGCTTCCCTCTAACCACCATATTGACAGCATCCCTATTGTCCAATTTGGTGATACCTCTGCCTATACCACCTGGCTAAGCACAAACGTGTCTCTCTAACTCCAAATTCCAATCTCAGCCTGTTAGTTATCCCTGGCTTTAGTTTAGTTGGCAGAATGATTGACAGTCAGTTGATTGGGGAGCTGCGGATTTCTGTGCCCTCAAGTCAGAT